TTATTTATTTTTCGAATTTTGATAGAATTTTACTATTTAAAGCATTGTAAGGCTTTTGAGGCAGATTATTGAATTGAATAAGAATTTTCGTGAATTTTATCACATCTTTGTGAGATTGTTCATCTTTCTTATAATCTTCCGCTATGTCACAAAGGTTGCTGAGTTTTGAGATATCTCTCTTCACTCACAACATCTCATTTTTTATAAATAAGACCATTGGGACGTCCATTACTTCATTCCAATGATATGCAATCATAGCATAACATAGAATTTCATCTTTTCTTAGCCAAAACTCTACATAAAAAACTATTTTCCATTTCATTCAAATGGAGTATAAAACCTATATTTTGGTTAGTTATTATCTTGAGAGTTGATTGTCATCATCCGTAGGCATCGTTGCGGGACAAAATCGACTTAAGGACAAAGAGTTCAACACTCGTCTCGATTTTGCATCCATTTCTTTTTGTGTTACTTTGTCATAGTCATTGTCATTTTTCAGTGGTGTTTTATTACTCTTTTCTTTGTCGTTACTCTGTCCAATTTCGGTAAGATTGATAAGTTCAATTTTGATTTGAAAGTCATCACTCAAATTCATTTTTTTATCAACAGAAAATACGAAAGTCAATTATTAATCCTAACAAATCCTAGAAATCCTCATCATCGATGGACTTCTTTTTTTTTTTTTTTTTAATGTACGGGTTTATTATTTTAAAACCATAAAGATGTGATCAATATTTTTGTTGGCTTGTCACTTGGTTGAAGTCGTGAAAAATAATTTAGAGACTCTCAAACGCAGCCTCAAACTTGTCTTGTTATCATGATAATTATAGATTATTTAACACCATATTTTATGTCTCTCTACTAGCATTAATTTGTTATGCTTACAAAATGGCAGAAAATTAGAAGGTCATTCTCTTTTTATTGTGTTCGTCATTTTCATACATTCTTTGATACATAACGAACATTTATTTGATGATGAGTTACGCTTGAGTGATCAACCAGTCAAGGACTTAACTACACGTTATGCCTTTTAAAAGCGGAACCCTTCTAAAAATAATATCGTCCACTTCCAAAACTCCTTTTATCTGCTAGTTTTCTAGGAACACTTTCATTTCTCTCTTGAAACGTCTCGCCTTGACAGTAAGCGCAAAATTAAGTGATCAATTATCAAGTTGACTATTTAGTGCGCGACTAGGCTCGCCTAGATGCACTTTATTAATTTATTTATTTTTTCTTTTCTTTAAAAGCATTTTATTTGATTTAGTTTCAAGTTTTCCCTTTGAAAATTGTATAATTGACTAATTATAAGAATTATTAAGTAAATATAGTATTTTATAATTTCAAATATTTGGTATGTATTATTTTAATTATTAAATAATTTTTAGAATGATTAAAAATTTAAAATAATATTAGAAATAAAGAAAACGTTTTTCTATCTCTAAGTCTCACCTGGCTCGTAAAGTTTGAAACTTGATTTCCACGCCTAAATACACTTTACGCTTCTAGAACGCTGGTTTTAACAATTAAAATATATTTTTGTTGTTTTGTTCTTTAAAGGAATTCTTAATGACGTCATATTTCCATGCCTTTAAAGGAGATTTTCTTCCGTTGCTAATCATGAGCTTGCATTTTATGTTGAGAAAAAACAATTAACCTCATTGAAACAAGATAATTTATTCGTTTAGTATTTTGAACAAGATCTACCATACGTAGATAATTACATTTTCTCTCTTTAAATATAACCAACATGTTGAATTTGATGAACGTGTGAGATTTAAATTTGGGATCGTGAATTTTTTTAAAATAGTTATATCATACTTAATTAACATTTTACAACAATATATATATATTTTTTAAATAATTTTGTATATGTCTGAAACAAATTTGAAAGAACTTATTTCAGATACTGCCAACTTCATCAAGATTTTAATTGTCGAGTTATGTTAATTTCATACTTCTCGACAAAAAAAAAAAGGTATTCTCCTTTCTTTTGATTAGAAAAATTTAAAAGCTTCAAAGAGATGAGATCTCGTCGAGCCATGCACTCATTTAGTTCCATCCCTTCTCTTTTGTGAAGTTAAGAGGTCAGTTTAGCCTTGATTATGAAAAATTTCGACTGAAATGAAAGGGTTAAATAGTTTGAGGCCTTATTTGCATAGGAAATGAGATATCATATGTTTTATTAGAGATGGCAGCGGGGTGCGGCCCTACCCCGTTTCCCCCCTCCCCCTCCAAAATTTTTCAGTTAAAATACAAATTCAAAATTTTAAAATTTAAAGCAAATAATGCTCAAACTAA